CCTACCGCCCAAAACATGCCCACCGCCCCCCTACCGCCCAAAACAAGTTCACCGCCCCTCAGCATCCTTCCACCGCCCCCCGGGGTGCGGTATCGCCCCCGTTGGGAACCAATGAATGAGAAGAAACAGAAGAAAGCTGCTTCCCCATCCTACTCCTTCATAAAAAAACCACACAGACCTGATTCACTCAAATGGTGGTGCTTCTAAGTCTTACTAAAATTAAGGTACTCCACGGTGAATTACAATTTGTGTAAACCATTGCAGTGAAACCATATTATTTTGTCTATCACTTCCAGATGCCCATTATATCCAGAAGTATGTTATCTGCATCAGCATGTCATTTGTGCAATGAAGTAGTAACACAAACACTTACATTACTTATGTGATTATGCAAATGACACTGAAATAAACTGATGTAACATACAATTAAGTAATTATTGTCACTCAAGTAATTATGAAGCAATTATTGGGGATGTCCAGACATGAGCTTGGCTTGTTTGCATTCAAAGTCTTTATACTATAGAAATGAAATGAAGCTATATGTTTCTATATGGCCTAGACTGAATAAATTATTAAAAGTCTGAGCTAGCTGTATATTAAGATTATAGCTTCTTCCTTCAAGTTCATTTCATCACTAATCTATACTCGCATTTTTCCTCTTTGGATTGTATCATTACTATTGTATCTTTTTTATTTGATTTGTTAAATTTCACTAATACAATTGAAACAAAATCATCTTTTAAAAGTCTGCTAAGTGGCAGTCCACGAAATTAAGGCTGTATGGTGTTATTACTTTTAATAACATCTTATCTTGCAGGACAGTTTTAAGAGCATAATTCATAAGGAATTCATGCAAATAAATAATTTTCCTTCCAAGCAGTACAGGGTTGCTCCCGCTGGCAGTTGCAATGAAGAGGGCTTGGGAAAATCACATCCACTTCATTGTGCTACGAAGGTCACCTGCTTTTAACTAGAATCGTTCACCAAGATTCACCCTCTGGCTACACTGCTGAGTCCCGCCCCCAAAACACAGGGCCCTTTTTTACCTCTTCCTCATCAGGCTTCTGTCCTTCTGGGGGCTCCTCAAAGTCTGGTGGAATGCTATTATTAATATTGAAGGAGACGGTGATCCTAGGGAACAACAAACCCACAATCAGCAAACCAGGATCAATGCAGGCCAGCAGCCTTGACTGGAACACATGGCCTCCAACGCTTCCGATTTCTCAAAAGCTGCAATGCACACATTTACCCAGCAACAAGATCCACTGCATCTCAAGGAAAGCATGTATTGCATCAGTCTGAAGCTCTATTGATTACTTAATTAAATAATAAATCTTTAGCCATTAACAGTCACCATACTGTTGCCAGTGTTATTACATAGTGATCAGATACACTAATCTGTAGTGGTTTGATTCTATCAATTTTGCTATGTCTATATGGATGTACAGGTAGTCCTCGACTTACAACCACAATACAGACTGGAAATTTTGTCGTTAAGTGGCGCAGTTGTTAAGTGAGGCATCACATGACTATACCTGATTTTACAACCTTTTTTGCCACGGTTGTAGCAAGACATCACATGACTACAACTTGTGACCTTCCCTGCTGGCTTCCCTACTGACTTTGCTTATTGGAAGCCATCTGGGAAGGTCGCAAATGGCGATCACACGATTGCAGGACACTGCAATTATTATAAATGTGTGATGGTTGCCAAGCATCTGAATCACAATCATGTGACTGTGGGGACACTGCGTCAGTCGTAAGTTACTTTTTTCAGTGCCATCATAACTTCGAACAGTCGCTGAATGGTTGTAACTTGAGGACTACCTGTATGTATGTACCTATTAATCTATTTATAAGCCAGTGTGGTGTAAGGGTGAAGGTACTGGCCTAGGATGGGGGAGACCCAGGTTCTCATCCACATTCAGGCCCAGAAGATCACTAGGTGACTTTGGCCCAATCACAGACACTCAGCCCAATACAATTTCTGCAAAGGTCTGGCCTCCAAGCTTGTTGATACTTCTAAGTTGAATGCAATATCTCTAGGCTATAATAAGCAATGGGGCTTTCTCTTTCCCCCCTCCCCAACACACTGAAATCCAAAAAGCACGGTTTGGTAACTGCCCAACTTTCTTGCCCACTTACGTTTCCCCAGCTACTTTCCGTGTGAGCTTGGCCTCAGTGCCATGAACGTCCAGCTCCCACCCTCCAGACATCTTCGGCAGGGATTTGTGTTTCTGGATCTTCTTCTCCTCTTTGATTTCATCATTTAGAAACTCAGCAAATGCTTTGTCACCTGCAGGTTGGAAAGAAGAGCAGCTAGTTCATTTTAGGCACCCAAACTGCACTCAATATGACTAGTGCTACTTCTAACTCATGGGACCTACAATGATATTTATTACTTTCTAAAATATCCTAAGGTTTAATCACAGCAGATGGCTGTACCAGCCAACTTTGGCCAATCCAGAAAAAGCTAAGCAGCTTTGGACCCGACCATAATTTGGATGAATAACAACTTGGGGAATTCTAGGGTTGTAGATAAAATTGATGCCAGTAGAAAACAAAAACAAGCTAAAAGATGTCCACAGGGACCCTGTCCATACTGTTGCCAAGAAATGAAGCTGCCTTTCTTTTAATCATGAGGTTTGTGCCTCAAGGAGCATCTATAGTGGACAAACACTAACACAGTTTCATGTTCTTCCGCTCTGTTAAAAATGGGACAGAGGTTTAAGCCAATACATGCAATGAGGCAGAAAGAAAGCCTTTGAAGATCACCACCCAATCTTGTGGCAATAAATTCCATTAAGTTCTTGATATCAAGTTCTAACATTTTAGGAATAAGCCTTTTTCCTCCCCACCACATATAAGTTCTAGGATGCCCATTGCTACATTCAGCAACCCCTGGCACCTTCACACAAAAATCAGAGAATGCCCTATTCTAGGCTGAAGTATCCAGAAACTTTGGGTTCACAACATTTACTACTATGGTTTATGTGATGTGATTGCCACAAAATGCTATGAAAATGGGAATCCCAAATCATAAGCTATTCAATCCCATTTTAATCAAATATTTATTACTGGGCAGTTTTTCACTGTTCTACTACAATTATTCTGGCTGAGATGCATGTTGGAAACATCACAGATTTGCACAAGGAGATTATAAAACTCCAAATTTTATTTTCAGTCCCATTCCAAATAATCCCAAGTCTGGAATTCACCCTCTTCATGGCTAACAAACATTGCATTAAGCATTCCAGCCACTGTGCTTCTCACAAGAGCTGTCTGGCCTGACTTTACATCAACCTTCCGCAGCCCCTGTCCTCCAGATGTGTGCGGACTACATGTCCCAGAATTCCTGGGGGAGGGGCGGACCTTTGAAATGGTCCGGTTCTAGCAAATCTGAAACGGACCAGGATGAAAAAGTCCAGTCTAGCGGCACCTACAAGAAATTAAGATTTGCTTGCCTGGAAAAAGCTTACACTTTTTTCCCTCTCTCCAACTTGCAGCCCATTTCCTCTTAAAACGACACGCGTGTGCTATTTAATGAGCCGGCTGGACACGCTGTATCAAGATGGGATTTTACTGCACGCACATGGCGTCAGTTAATGCCCGTACACACCTTGATGCCCAAACGTGCCTTGCGGGGTTGCAGTTTGCGCCTCCCGCTCACCTCGCCATTTTACACCACAACGGCCATGTGCCTTCTCCAACTCGTACATGATGGCCCTTCCGGGCAAAGACGCATGGACAACCCCCCCATCCCCCCAGCCGCTTTCCGCGAGACTGAGACCGGAGCCCTACTCGCATCGCTGGAGGGATGAGCCTCGTGGACTTCTGACGAGGTTAACCTTGAAGCAGAAGCCTCTAAAGGTCCCCGGGAGGAGGCAGGAAGACGGGTCGTTAACCCCCC